GTACGAGCAAAATCAGGTGTTTAGAAACACCCGAGCCCACATACGAGCGCGTGGAAATTTTGACGCCAAAATTATTAACCCGAAAACAGTAAAAGTTAGAAAGCTGAAACTTTAAGGGAATGTTCCCTACTCATGTACGAACAAAATCAGGTTTTTAGAAGCGCCCAAGCCCACATACGAGCACATGGAAATTTTGGCGCGAAAATTACTGACCCGGGAACGGTGAAAGCTAGAAAGCTGAAACTTTCGGGGAATGTTTCTTACTCATGTTTGACCAAAATCAGGTGTTTAGAAGCACCCGAGCCCACGTACAGGCAAGTGGAAATTTTTGGCGCGGAAATCATTAACTCGGGAACGAAAAAAGCTAGAAAGCTGAAACTTCAGGGTAACGTTCCCTACTCATGTACGACCAAAAGATTTTAAATTCACCTCCTTAAAACCGTCCCGTAATCACGTAGGGACACGTGAAGCCAAAAGATTTTAAATTCATCTCCTTAAAACCGTCCCGTAATCACGTGGGGACACTTGAAAATTTTTGGTGGGGAAAACTTGCCAATTCGGGAACGAGATAAGCTCAAGGCTTTAATTATAAGGGAATATTCCCTTCTTAGGTACTACTAAAAGACGGGAACGAGATAAGCTCAAGGCTTTAATTGTAAGGGAATATTCCCTACTTATGTACTACTAAAAGATCTCAAACTTAACTCTTCTGGAGTGGCTTTTTTTGCGGACCAGCACCTTTCCATTTGCCGGGTCACTGTAACCGACACCTACGACTGACATACCACATAGTTGCACAATTAACCTCTCGAACTTCGAGGGTCAGTATGTTGCAGGGTTAGCTACTAACAACTGACATACCACATAGTTGCACAATTTACTTCCGAACTCCGAGGGCCAGTATTTCACAGGGTTAGCTACACTTATTTCCTTGCGATCTTGCTACGGCACGAGAAGTGCAAAAACGCATAATCGCACCGGCCCGCCTGGTGCGTTCCAGCCTGGGTAATTTTCAGAGACGGCCTTAAGTAAAGTATGGTTGACAATAATGCAATTCAACCCAGATAGTAGTGCATCAGCTCTGCTGGTACGACCATGCATTTTTACGCCAAACTTGAAGCGAGCTGGTTGTTAACAGTGTGAACGGCTGCTGCTTTATAGTTTAACATCTGGACATTTTGAGTGTGTTTTGGCCTTTTCTTACATGCAAGGAAAAAAAGAGCTTTGATTAGAATGATCGTGGTGTATGATGGTGCCGCGTAAACCCTAAATTCTGGCATGCATCACTATAGTGAATTTTGTGTGAAGGAAAATAGATAAATTCCGATAACCAGTGTTCGTCGAAAAATGCAAATTTGGCAATGTAAGGGTTGCCGAGGGAAAAGGATGACGAAATACGCAAAATGCGCTCGCTTTTGAGATTGCGATAAAAAAGTATTTTTCAAACTTGTGTGCGAAAAATTTAACCTCCAGTCTGAATTTCAACTACAAGTGGATATGGGATGTCTTCGCAAAATCCCAGCCTCACAGCTTGTCCAGTACCCGAAATTGTAACTTCGCTACTGATGTCTTTGGCGTACCATAAGGCAGGGTGCAAGCACAAATCGGAACTCGATTTAGGTGTACGATTTCACAGATGTAGGATAAATGTTTTGGCGAAATTACGATTGTTGCTTTCTGGCTATTTTTAAAATTCATGCAGCGCCAACTTGCGGTCATACGTATGAGAAAGCTGAATTTGAAACCTTTAGCTCAAACGTAGGCTTGCAACACGACATGCTTCTGTGTGACCTGTGGTTTGGCTTATCATTGCAAACTGGATGATATCACAACCCGTCATCTTCAGCTGATTTATGACTTGATTTTTTAGCTGACCTGTAACATAACTTCCTTCAGCTGGTCACTGTTGCATTTACGTTGATCGATGAACTCATCGGCATCCTCAGTGGCGGCTTCACGTCTTCGTAATCGGTGGTTCTGATCATCCGTTACATTTAGACAGTCTGGTTTGCATTGCTGTGCCGGTGGACAGGGACATGTCGCGGTGCTTTTAGCTTCCGCAGATTTCAGAATATTGAGAAATATCACCAGCACAAAAAGCATGCTAGAACAGTGATCAGTCCCTTCTCACGTTGTTGAGCGGAACTCCATCTCGAGTTCTGCTGCAGCACAGACCTCATGAAGCCGTTCGTCGATTTAGTACATGATCGATGGTACAAAAAGAAAGCTTAATGAAATCGGGAGCGTGCCCTAGCTGCTGCCAGCGAATCTCCCTCCTCATAACTTATCCCCCATCCTCTCTAGCTCTTTAGCAATTCAACTGAAAACAGAGGATTAGAAAAGCAAGATCGTGAATCCAAAATAATGTTTCAGTCCATTTAGTCGCATATATTGTGTCGAGGAAGGAGAGGGGAAAGATTAAACTGAGATGGCGAGAGATTTTTTCTGCTTGTTGAATGAGTTTTGGGCCGAGGCTCTCTGACTGATTCGACCATTCTTTCTCAGGAGAATGGAAACCTGGATGAGATCGGGAAACACTCACGGAACATTTGAATCAGACAGAAATTATTACTTACTAGTCTTTACGCCAAATGACACGACCTATTTCCCCACTGGTCACTAGAACGAGCTCGAAACAAACTCTTATTCGCAAACGTCGAAAATTTCCGGAGTACACACAGCAAGTCCAGACTTTTGGAGAAAGAAATCGAACTTCCACATGAGTATGAGCAATTTTTCAATGAAAATGCGGAAACCTGCCTTCTGTTTTTGAGTGGAAAAATTCTAGAAAAGACACTGGAACGACATTAGAAATAGTTGGAGAAAGGAGTGATTGCTCCGAGGATTTGATCTGACCGCAGTACGGTGCTATCTATTTATTTTTATAGGTCAGAGCGCGCCCGTGGTCATCAGTTCGTCCTCCCAAAAAACACATAACAATCAAAATTTGATTTCGGCGCAGAAGGTCTTATTTTTTGTGAAATCGCCGCGTTATTGCAGGGCTACCGTGTGCGGACACTGCTCCTTCCTGAATCCGTTCTGTAATTGAAAA